CTATGGCACTTACCAACAGGGGTGACCCTTAGTGGACTGATGAAGATCAAAGACTACAGCCTTCAGTATGGATTGCACCTCAATGTAAAGAAAATGAAAATCCTCAGAACTGGACTAATAAATGACATCAAGACAAGTGGAGAAAAGATTGAAGTTGTCAAAGACCTCGTTTTGCTCGGGTCCACAATCCACACTCATGGAAACAGCAGTCAAGAAATCAAACAACATAATGCATTAGGCAAATCTGCTGCAGAAGACCTCTCTAAAGTGTAAAGAGCAAAGATGTCAGTTTGATGACTTAAGGTGACCCAAACCATGGTCTTTTCAATCACCTCATATGCATGTGAACGTTGGACAGTGAATAAGGAAGACCAGAGAAGAATTGATGCATTTGAACTCTGGTGTTGGAGGATGTTGAAAGTATCACAGACGATCAGAAAAACCAGCAAAGCTCTCTTGGAGGAAGTACAACCATAGATAGGACTTAGAAGGGAGAATGGTGAGACGTCATCTCTTGTACTTTAGACATGTTGTCAGAAAGGACGAGTCTCTGGAAAAGGACATCATGTTTTCTAAAGTGGAGGGTCAACGAAAAAAGGGAAGACACCCCCCCACACACACACACACAATGTGATGGATTGACACATAGTAACAATAACATTCTCAACTACAACAACCGTGGAGGTGGCTCAGGACTAAGCAGTGTTTTGGTCTGTTGCACACAGTCTCTGTGAGTCAGAACCAACTCAACAGCAACTATCAACAAGCCTCTGATGTCCCAGTTCAGGAGCCCCACCTGCCACTCTGTGTAGTTGTTGCTATAATTTCTTCATCGCATTGACCTTTTCCGGGCATGGTCTTACTTGTTGTTAAGTATCATCGAGTCTGTTCTGACTCATAGCAACCCTGTATAGGGTTTCTGAAGAGTGGCTGGTGGAATTGAACCACTGACTATACGGTTCCATATAGTCAGTGCTTATCCTACAGAGCCACACCAAGACTCCATTGCCTTAGCTAGTTGACCACTACAATTTTTCTTCTGTTTCCTCCCATTGGACCACATGTTCCAAGGAAGCGCTATGAGGCCAGGTTCCCTAGTTGTCTGGTTCATGGCTAAATCCCCAAAACAGTGCTGGCCACATAGGAGGCATCCAACCCCAATTTGCTGAATGCATGAAATAATGGAATCCTAGCTCCAAGGCAAAGGGACAAGTCCCATAACATCACTGCTGTTGTTCTTGTTACGTATCATCGAGTTGGTTCCAATTCATAGCAACCCTGTACAGGGTTTCCAAGGAGCCACTGGTGAGCTTGAATCGTTGACCTTGTAGTTCAAACCAACGTTGCAGTCCAGGACATTAACCCACAGCACCATGACATCACCATAGTGTGTTAATTCCAGGCACAGCCCATTCCATAAGATCTGGCTGTTTTCAGTGGCACCAAGGAATGGGGTGGGGGCAGCCTGCCTTGTGGCTCAGTGGTATAATTCTCACCTTCCCCACTGGGAGACCCAGGTTCAATTCTTTGTCAATTCACTATACGATCGCCCACCACCTGTCTGTCTGTGGAGCTGTGGTGTTGCTGTGATGCCTAACAAGTTTCAGTGAAGCTTTCAGACGAAGAAGACTATGAGGTCTTGGCCCAACCCACACGCCACTATGGGATGGTGCCTGGGGTAGCAATGAGTCAGGAGTGGGGGCCAAGAGGAGGCAAATTCAACAGCAGCTAATAAAAACAATGAAGGGTAAAAGGTTCTTGTTAAGTGCTTTCAAGTGAGTTCAGTCTCATAACGACCCTGTGTAGAGTTTCTGAGGAGTCACTGGTGAATTTGAATTGGCAACCTTGCAGTTTAAACCAACCTTTCGGTAGAATGCTTATCCTACGGTGCCACACCAGGACTCCAAAGAGGAGGGTTGTGGTTTTAATGACGTGGAGTAGGTTCCGACTCATAGAGACCCTGCATAGGGTTCCTGAGGAGCAGCTGGTGGGTTTTCACTGCCGACCTTGTGGTTTGCAGTCCAGTATTGATCCTATAAGGAGCTCTGGTAGCGTAGTGGTTATGAATCAGGCTGCGAACCTTAAAGTCAGCAGTTCGGAACTAGAAAAGATGAAGCTTTCTGCTCCCGTAAAGATTTACAGCCTTGGAAACCCTGTACAGGGTCACGATGAGTCGGAACAACAACACTGATCCTATACCACCACACCAGAAGTCCTAAAAGTATGGTTGTTGTTGTTGAGTGCCCTCAAGTCATTTTTAGTGACCCTGTATAGGGTTACCAAGGAGCAGCAGCTGAGTTTGAACCTCTGACCTTGTGGTTCAAACTGACTTTGCAGTGCAGAGCATTAACCCACACAGCCACAGAGTTGAAACTAGAAACAGATGGGAAGCAGGGGCTTTCCCTCCCACCTCCTGTTCCCACCATCCAGGATAGCAGTTCTCTGGCTCCCCGGTGGGCTAATGATGCCCCCTACCAGGGGTCTCTCGGCCAGGCCTTCTCTCCTCTCCCTGCCCTTGTTCTCGTCCAGTGCAGAGGATGAGATGCGCATCAGTTTGCTCAAGAAATAAAGGCAAGAGCTTTCTGTCACTTTTACTACCCATTACTACCCAACAGCAGGTATCGAAACGTCTCACCGCCAGCCCGGAGATGCTGCCTTCCCAACCATGCCGGGCCCCAGTCGGCCTGCCCAGCCCCATTGGCCGCACCCACTCCACCGTAGGCCCAGCCAATGAGCTGCCTGCCCTTCGCTTTTGAAAGGAGATCCAGCCGGGAAGAGCCACGGCAGGAGGCTGGGGGCCGGCCTTGAAGAGCAGGGGCAGCTGGGCACCAGACCTGGTTATTTGGGTCTCTGCAGGCCAGGCACCCTCCCTCCTGTCCCTGTTTCACCAGAGCTGGGCCTGGCCCTGGGATTCCTGCTCAACCGGGACTCCTGCCCAGGCCGAGAGTGGAAGCCATTTGGATTCAGAAGCTCCTATGGGGGTGGGGGTTAATGTTCTCATAGCACTAGGGACCCAGCTCCTCCCCTCTCCTCTGTGTCCCCCAGGAATGGGACAGACTGTTCACACATAGCAGGCAACCAGTGGGTAGGGCAAGAGGGCACCAGGTCACATGTCCTGAGAGGCAGGCTGGGAGGTGGGGGAGAGGGTAGGGGTGGAGCGTGACTGCAGGGAGAGGCCACTGCACAGGGCTGTTTGACCCCACTAGGTGGAACTCCAACCCTAGTGCTGTCCCCTCAGCCCTATTCCTGTCACTCTGCCAAAAAAAAGCCACCATTTGAAAAACCAAACTCTGTAAAGTTCAGGCTCCCAGCTTTGACTCTGCCACAAACTCCACATGACCTTGGGCAAACCGGGTCAGTTTCCCTCCTGGGCAATGAATGACCTTTGGGGGGCCCTGTGACCCACTATGGTGGGGTGAAGTTGTCCTCACACTGCTCCTGCCTAGAGATCTGGCCCTGGCTTGGGGTGAAGTAGACTGGGTACACGGGGGCGTGTCTGTACATAGGGCCTCAATTTGTACAAGGGGCCTCAATTTCCCCAAGGATATCGAGTATCAGAAGTTGAGACCCCCATTGGGCGTGCTGTCCTGTCCGGGGGGTGGGGGAGAAAGCGCAGGCGGGGCCGCCCTCGCCCCTCGCGCCCCCCTGCTTACACTTACATTTTGCCTCCTTCCAGTCGGTGGAGGTGTTCAGATCCACCTTCGCCGCCATGGCCAGCGGAACCCAGGTGCGCACCCAGGCTCTCCGACCCACGGCCGCCGCCCCCCAAGCCCCAACTCCCGCTAGGGTCCGCGAGCGGGGACCGTAGACGCCCAGAGACGCCGGGGGGCTGCACGCACTGCTGCAGGGCCGCGTGGCAACTGCCGAGGGGCCGGGCCAGGGGCGCGGGGCGACCAGCAGCTGCCTCGCCGCGCGCAGCTGTGCCAGGCGGCCGGCCACTCTGCTCTGCAGAGACATGAGCAGGCGGCACCGGGCGGCTCCCCGCCCACTTGGACTCTATTTACGGTGCTTGGGAGAATCTCTCCCTTATTTACTCCGGGACCGGCTGGCGTGTGCCAGCTCGCGACGACCTGCTCCGAGCCGGCGGGCTGCGCGGCCAGAAAACCCGGGCGCACCGCTGGGCACCCTGGAACTTGTAGTCCGGGCACGCCGATCAGCACCCCGCACTCGTCTGCACACGTGCGTGCGCGCCCTCTGAACCGGGCTCACCCCAGGGGTCGCAGTCCAAAGTCCCGCCCTCATTGTGTTTGATGCCTTCAGGGGGCGGCCGGCCACCTACGCTTTGTGACTCCACGACCGCCACTTCCTGGTTGGTAACCTATCCAGATACCCGCGCCAAATGGGAGCCCTGGGCCCTCCACAAGTCCAGCGAGCCCTTCGGGCCCCAGCGCAGAAAGGCGCGCCCGGCGCTGGTCCGGAAAGCCAGCATGGCTCGGGGCTGTGTGGGACACTTTGTAGCCAGGCGGAAGTGATCATCCGTCAGTCAGCTGCACCCCAGCACGCACCCCATCAGCCCGTTTCCAGGAGCTGGTACGCCTGGGGGTGACAAAGTGACAAACTGGTGCGTCCGGTTCAGCAACTTTCACCAGGTTGCCTTAGCCCTTGGGCCTCCTCAGGACCGAGAGGCAACCATGGAAATAATGGAATTCGGAGGCAGAAAAAAAGTAGGTTCCAAGCGATGCTCTCTGGTAGAAGACCTGGATTGGTTGTGTTTTTTGGGGGGGGGGTTTTCCCCTCTTAGTTTTATACAAAGACTTTGAAGGTGGAATTTAAAATATATAAATATTTTTTTTATTTTCCTATGCTACTACGATTACCTGATAAATATAATAATAAATATTTTTTGGAATTCATGGGAACAAAGAAGCCAGAGTTCCAGAAAAGGTACCACCCTCAGTATTAGCTTTCCCACTTGGAGACTTTGGCATCTTACACTCAAACTGGATGTGAGAGAGCGCTCTGGTTTGGCTGGTTATCATCCTGTCCTATGTGAGGCAATAACCCTTGTGAGGAGGGTGTGAGATTGTTCCTCACAGATTAGAAAGTAGCACACGTATACTGAAGTTTACCAGTCTTGGGCAATCTGCACGTCCACCTGCCTCCCTGTCTGTCAGGTTGCCCTACTGTGTGGTACGCCTGCTGCTGCCATGCTAAAAGCTGTTCCAGTAATTCAAACATTAACAGGCTTACTCGTGGTAGACAGGTTTCAATGGAGCGTCCAAACTAACATTGTTGTTGTTGTTATGTGCCGTGGAGTTGGTCCCGACTCATAGCGACCCTGTACAGGGTTTCTGAGGCTATAAATCTTTATGGGAGCAGAAACCTCATCTTTCTCCCACAGAACAGCTCATAGTTTCGAACTGCTGGCCATGAGATTAGCAGCCTGATTCGTAACCACTACACTACCAGAGCTCCTTTCCAGACTAAGAGAAACTAGGTCAAAAGGTCCAGCAACTAACTTTTGAAAATTATCCAGTGAAAACCTTATGAATCGCAACAGACCATTGCCCAATCCATCATTGTTTTTCTAAATGTTCTAAAGTACCATCAAGTCTTTTCCAACCCATAGCAACCTTGTATAGGGTTTCCAAGAAGCAGCTGGTGAGCTTGAACCACCGACCTTGCAGTTCAAACTGACCTTACAGTGCAGCACATGAACCCACAGAGGACACTGGAGAAGGAAGTGAGGGAAACCCTCAATGAGCTGGCTTGGCACAGCTACAACAATGGATTTGAACATGTTGGCCACGGAGAGGGTGACTCGGGATGGGGCAATGTTTTGTTCTATTGCACATGAAGTGATCATGAATTGGAGTAGTCTTGATATCAGTTATCCATCTATGATGACATTGTTGTAGTTGTTGTTGTTAAGTGCCGTCGAGTCGATTCCGATCCATAGCGACCCTGTATAAGCTTTCCAAGGAGCAGCTGAAGTACTGTCAAATCGGTTCTGACTCATAGCGACCCTGTACAAGGTTTCCAAGGAGCGGCTGATGAGTTTGAACCACCAACCTTGCAGTCCAAACCTTATGGCCCAGTGCTTAACCCACAGTGCCACACAATGACTCCATGATGACATAGGGCTCACCGAAGTAATTGAGGGTAATCTCTATTTTAATGTCACTTGATGAGCAATATTAATTAGATCAGCAATCCTACTTACCTCATATCACGTAATACAACATATTAGTAAGAGATTAGGACATGGATCTATTTGTAGGAGACAGCATCTTGCCTACCATGCCCTGTCTAGCAAGGCCTGGCCATGGGGCCCAGGAAATAGCAGGGACCCTAACCAGAGTCCTGGTCCCCAATAAGGAGGATGCCGATGGCACAGAGCCTGAAATCCACACACCATGTGTGGCACCCCACAAGACAAGCGACAGATTTCAAGAAAAAGAAGGAGTAAAAGCCATGTTCATCAGACTAGGCTCTAGGGTCAGAAGTTGACCCCAAGAGTCTCATGACAAACAGGAGTTGAATGTCTCCGGAATAGACGCCTACAGGTGTTATGAAAAGACTTGATGGCACTTTAGAATAACAATGATGGATTGGGCAATGGTCTGTTGCGATTCATAAGGTTTTCACTGGATAATTTTCAAAAGTTAGTTGCTGGGCCTTTTGACCTAGTTTCTCTTAGTCTGGAAAGGAGCTCTGGTAGTGTAGTGGTTACGAATCAGGCTGCTAATCTCAAGGTCTAGCAGTTCAGGGTGAGAGTTGGCGCTGCAGGATAATGAACTGGATGGACCACAAGGTCTGTTTGAACTGAAAGTCAGTGGTTCAAACTCACCAGCCACTCCTCAGAAACTCTATCCAGGGTTGCTATCAGCTGGAACTGACAACATGTCACTTAACAATTCATGTGTAGTATATACCACAACTTGTCTGTCAGTTGGTCATACTGTGGTGGCTTGCTGTGATTCTGGATGCTATGCCATGGGTATTTTAAATACCAGCAGGGTCACCCATGGTGGAAGGGTTTTAGCTGAGCTTCCAGACAAAGACAGACTATGAAGAAGGCGAGATGGACTACTTCTGAATAGTTAGTCACTGAAAACCTTATGAATAGCAGTGAAACACTGTCAGCACCAGAATATTCATTATTGAAACACGATGAAGAGCACCAGAATATTGTCAGATACAGTGCCGGAAGATGAGCCCCTCAGGTTGGAAAGCACTCAAAATATGAGTGGAGAAGAGCTGCCTCCTCAAAGTAGAGTTAACCGTGATGACGTAAATGGAGTAAAACCTTTGGGACCTTCATTTTCTGATGGAGCACAACTCAAAACGAAGAAAAATAGCTGTAAACATCCATTAATGATCAGAGCTGGAAATGTGTGAAATTTTATTAATCAGGAAAATTAGAAATTCTGAAAAATGAAATGGAATGCATAAACATCGATATCCTAGGCATTAGTGAACTGAAATGGACTGGTATTGGCCATTTTAAATCTGACAATCACATGGTTTACTATGCCGGGAATGACAAATTGAAAAGGAATGCTGTCACATTCATCAAAATGAACATACCAAGATCTGTCTTGAAGTACAACACTGTCTGTGATAAGATAATATCCACATGCCTATAGCAAAGATCAGTTAATAAATGCCATTATTATTCAAATTTACACACCAACCACTAAAGCCAGTGATGATGAAATCAAAGAATTCTACAAACTTCTTCAGTCTGATATTGATCAAACATACAGTTGAGATGTATTGATAATTCAAAGTTTGGAAACAAAGAGGAAGGATCAGTAGTTGGAAAATATGGCCTTGGTGATGGAAACAATGCTGGAGACCAAATGATAGAATTTTGAAAGACCAGTGACTTCTTCACTGCAAATACCTTTTTAAACAACATAAAAGACAAACTATACACGTGGACCTCACCAGATGGAATACACAGACATCAAATTGACTACATCTGTGGAAAGTGATAGTAGAAACACTCCATTGTTGTTGTTGTTACGTGCTGTCAAGTTGATTCCGAGTCATAGCGACCCTGTATAGGGTTTCCAAGGAGTGGCTGGTAGGCTTCAACTGCCGATCTTGCAGTTCAAACTGACCTTGCAGTCCAGCACATTAAACTACAGCACCCCACCAGGACTCCGAAAAGCTCCAAGCAAGGGCCAAACAAGGGCAGGGGCAGATTGTGAAACAGACCATCAATTGCTCAGCTGTAAGTTCAGGCCGAAGATGACGAAATTTAAAATAAGTCCACAAAATCCAAAAAATGACCTGAACTTAGAGATCACCTGAAGAACAGCGTTGATACATTTGACACTAAAGACTGAAAACCATAAGAGTTGTGGGAAGACATCAAGAACATCATACAGGAAAAGAGCAAAAGGTCATTGAGAAGACAAGATAGAAGGAAAAGAGCAAAATGGATGTCAGAAGAAACATTGAAACTTGCTCTCCAGCATAGAGATGTTAAAGCAAATGGAAGAAGTGAGGAGGTACAAGAGCTGAACAGAGTATTTCAAAGGTCAGCTCAAGAAGACAAAGTCATATATTGTAACAAAATATGCAAAGTTAGAAAAAAGTTTGGAGTTAGAAAAAAAAAAACAAAAAGGGAAGAACACACTCAGCATTTCTCAAGCTGAGGGAACTTAAGGAAAAATTGAGGCCTCAACTTGCAATATTGCAGGGCCTGGTGTGGCCCTGCAGGATAATGCACTGGACTACAAAGTCAGTTTGAGCTGCAAGATCAACAGTTCAAACCCATCAGTCGCTCGTCAGAAACCCTATTCAGGGTCGCTGCGAGTAGGAACCTACTCAACAACACTTAACAACAGCAACAACAAATGGGCAAAATATTGAATGATACAGAAAGCATCAAGAGAAGATGAAAGGAATACACAGTCATTGTACCAAAAAGAAATGGTCCATATTCAACCATTTCAAGAGGTAGCATATGATCAAGAGCCAATGATCCTGAAGGAAGAAGTCCAACATGCATTGAAGGCATTGACAAAGGACAAGACACCGATAATTGATCGAATGCAAATCGAAATTTTTCAACAAAGTGATGCATCACTGCAGGCATTCACTCATCTGTGCCAAGGCCAGT